AAATAATCCAACGGTTTGCATAGACCAGGGGTCAGCAACCTTAAACACTCAAAGAGCCACAAAGGTCCTAAATGGAAGGACCCGTGTCCCCCCCCCCCCCAATTCAATTTTGGAGCCGACCGGAAGTCCAGTTCCCCCATCATAGAGTCTCCTCCTAGTGCGGCATCCTTTTTCCTCTACCTGTCCTAAACGAAAGCCCTGTCAATTGTGGCGCTGACCAGCGGCAGGGAGCCACAGCAGAGGGATGAAATAGCCACATGCGGATCCATGTGAGAGTTGCTGACTCCTGGCAGAGAGGCAACAAACATATCAAGCCTGTAACACACATCACAGCAACAGCACAATGAAAGGGTCAGGGCCTACACTTACACCGAGGGCCAACTTTGGATCCTAAAATGTCAGAGAGTTTTTAAGAAAAACAAAATTAACAGAGCAAGAGTGTTAAGCCACAAAGTGGCCTTTAAAAAGTTACCCCAGGACAGGAAGAAAAGCAGAATCACTCCACATGCAGCCTCCATACAGAAATGGAACCAGATGTTGTAAAAGAGCTAAAAACAGCAGCCCTGTGTCTTTGTTTTTCTTCTTTTAAGAATATTTAAGGGTCTAAAATGCATATCACTCCATTCTGACATCCCCCTCCCGCCAGTTCAACATCCTCTTTGGAGTTTTGGCATTTACCAGGTGACAAAACTGTATGTTAGAAAAAAAGAAGAGAAAGCGATGACAGATGTTGTTGGTAGCACGTGTCTCAAACCATCTAGGGGTGGGCTGCTGGGGGTTCGCAGGGGTTCGGGAGAACCTCTAAGATTCTGTGCAGTTCAGAGAACCCCCAAATCTCACTCCTGGCTGGCCCCACCCTTTTCTTTTCCAGGAGTCCCCCACGTGGCCCGGTTTGCATGCAGGTAAGTGCAGGGTGTGCGCGGAGGCTCAGGAAGGGTGAAAAACAGGCCTACTGGAAGTTTGGGAAGGCCAGAAACAGGCCAGAGAGCCTCCGGAGCCTGGGGAGGCCATTTTTGCCCTCCTGGAGGCTCAAGGAAAGCCTCTGGAACGCTCCCCACCCCGCCATGGTGCAGGAGGCCGACTAGGCCACGCCCACTATGGCCACGCCCACCCAGCAACAGAGAACACCTTGGTAAAAATTTTGAAACCAATCCCTGGAACCATTCAAATACATTTGACCAGGGCTGCCTCACAGCCACCTCGTATTATTGATTATGCAGATGGTTCTTGAAATCGCCTTTGATAAAAGTTATCAACACAGTGAAACAAAAAACCTCAAACTACCTGAGAAAAACTGAGGAAACAATTTGGCCATCCAGTTCTAAAAAAGTCACAATCTCAAGTATTTTTTTTTAAAAAAAGCCCACCTAGCTTCTTGTCTAATTTTCTCACTGCACAGTTCTGTCTATAATACAAGCCCAAACGTATCAACTACTCCACTTCAGTACCCCGATTTAAAAATCAATGTTGGCCCATGTGATTCTATTTAGGATGTGATGGAGGACTTGTTTAAAAGAAGACAGGAACCTATTCTAAAGTCCAGAGGAAAGGAGTGAAAGATTTCATACATGGAATAGATTCCTTAAGGAATTGGGCAACCTTAATTGTTCAGATTGAAGAATTCCTGAATCTCTAGATTGATTGTCCAGAGATGAATTCCCTACCATGTTGTTGTGCTGCTTTTCAGAGTCACCAGATGGCAGCAGAACAGAGGTAAAGTTTATGTTTTTCCATCATCTCAACTCTGTTAAGAGTCGCTTTAAAAATTACAAATTTCCCAGATTGACAACACTTGCAAGCCACCAGTGTTGCTCTTATTTTTTACTTTAATATACAAGCACATGCTAGGAAATGCCATGGTTAGCTGCAAAGGGATTCATGGATTACTATCTGTGGATAATCTGCATGGATTTTTATAGAGAGCAGGGGTGTCAAACTCAATTTCATTGAGGGCCGGATCAGGGTTGTGTTTGACCTCAGGGGAGGTGGAGTGGGCGTGGCCATGGTGGGTGTGGCCAGCTCGATGTCACTCGTGTCGGGGGCGCCTGTGGTGGCTTGAGCGCTCTGTCAGAATATACAAGTCAGCGTTTATGTGTAAGACTGAAGTGTACTTGTTACTTCACACATTTGTTCAGAATTAGAAAGGTTCTTTAAGTAAGCACATGCTTAAGCAACTGACAAGAAGAAAGTTTGTTTCAATTAAATCCACATATTCACTTTGGCAATTCTTCTTGAAGCCCAATCTTTTACCCATGAAAATAGTAATACACCAAAATGTTTTTCAACTATTGTTGTTAGCTGCGAAGTTGTGTCCGACCCATCGCAACCGCGTGGACAACGTTCCTCCAGGCCTTCCTGTCCTCTACCATCCTCTGGAGTCCATTTAAGCTCACACCATTTCCGTGATTCCATCCAGCCACCTCCTTCTTTGTCATCTCTTTCTTCTTTTGCCCTCAATCTTTCCCAGCATTAGGCTCTTCTCCAGTGAGTCCTTCCTTCTCAACTGGGAAAACCATAGCCTTGATTATACGCAGTTTTGTTGGCAATGTGATGTCTCTGCTTTTTAGTATACTGTCTAGATTTGCCATAGCTTTCTTCCCCAGGAGCAGGCGTCTTTTAATTTCTTGGCT